GACAACGAGAAGCCCTTGTGGCGGTCAGTGTCCCACAGTGCCCAACAGTAGCTCCTCTTAGGCTTGCAGCCACAACAGCTAGCCAAATCATCTGTCGTCTGAATGCACCGCGTTTATCTGGATGTCAATGTTGTTGTTACCAGAAAGTGGCTGTGCTTCATCGTAGGGTGACAATATGGACACAACAAACATCTATTGCATATCGTTTATTGCATATGTGCATAAAATGTAATACATAAAAGGCATGTGTAAATAATAATTTATAAAACCCGCATGTAAAGTATAATGTATAAAACGCAGACGTATATTAAACGGAAATGACGGCTAAAGCCACGCATCCACCGTCGCTCGTCAGCCATGTCGCAGCAAGTCAGGGACAACGACATGACTCCGCATCCGAACGCAACGGCATCATGTTTGGCGCATAAAGAAAGCAACTGTTCACCGACCCGCTACAACGTAACTATGTACAGCTACGCATAATTAACCAATATGTTGCCCAAAACACAGGTGCACCCATGCTGTCATGGCATTCATAGATCTATGAGGACCTACCGACGGTTAAGGCAGGTCGTCGAACTGCATCTGATTTGGCCAGCTTAAAACAATGTAGCAATTCTCTTAAGTCCAAAAGAAGACTGCTGAACTTTTCACTTGCCACTCAAGGCAGCCTATGCTCTGGGGGGAAACTACCGCTACTTGCACAGTGAACATATACATGCGCCCATACCCCCAACATAACCAGCAGAACAGCGCGTGCTGAGCCACATTTCACACACACATTGCACGGAGGCGCCAACCAGGTGGTCCCCACAACCATACAACCAATCACGTTCTTCATCGAACTGGTCCACCCCAGCCAGGAGCATCTTCTACGCAGATCGGGTGAAGCGATGTCCCAGAGATAGCAGTACATCTGGATTCGCTTTCAGCCTGCCGAGGTGGATGACATCCCAGGCCCGTACGTCCCATTTACCGAACAGGCCTTCCTTCGATGAGTTCCTGAGAATCCAGCGTAGCATGGCCGCAACAGGGGTCAGTAAGACGCATTTTGCACTATGGAACGCGCGAGATGATAGCAGAAGTGAACGTTACGGTGGAAGAGATGACCCAAGACTAAAACACACGAAGCCAGTAACCCATGTAAAATTGTGCAACTAGATTTCCTCACTGCGTTGCAGCATTAGTTTCTGATTCTTTGCGGGCAGCAATGCACAAACATGTAGCGTGCGCGGGCTTCTGTTTCAATAGCTTCACCTCAAAATGGGCTGCCCGAGAATTATCATTGACGACATGTGGGACCTCGGACCTGTGCATACTTTTAGTACATGGTGCCCAAAAGTGGTGCCCACGAAAAGTGCGACTGTGTTTCATCTCAATGCCGGTTACAGTGCACTTCGCTGCGATCTCTATGCTCTTCACGGCTCAATCTTTCTCGTTTGAAGCCAAAGCGTATTGCATACATAGGAATCGTGACATGGTCCGTTTCCCGTCGAATTAATGGGCTTTCGTGCCGGACGGTGTCGGGTTGACATGCCAATTTGCAAACACCTTCACCTGGTGCTTCGTCGCACGTTTCTGTCCGCTGTAGGTCCTGGAGAACAAATCCGTATACGCTGAAGAAGGCGCAGTTATGTTTTAAGCTCGCAGGCGAGTGCGGTCAACTCGAAGCCACAGATTGGTCTGCACTTTTGGTAATACACTCACTGTTGACAAGCAGAGAGAGAAAGAGAGGGGGAGGGAGGGAGGGAGGGAGGGAGAGAGAGAAAGGGAGGGAGGGAGGGAGGGAGGAAGGAAAGAAGAGAGGGAGGGAGGGAGAGAAGGCGAAAGAGAGAGAGGGAGAGAGAAGGCGAAAGAGCAATAGAGCGATAGAGAGCGACAGAAAGCGATAGAGAGCGATAGAGGGCGAGAGAGCGAGGGCGAGACTGCGAGGGCGAGAGAGCGAAAGAGAGGTGTAAACTATCACTTGACATGTAATATCCCAATTGTAAGCCGTCGCATCACAGCTATCGCAAGTGCGATGAGCCATCAGCAGCGAAACTGCGTAACTTACCAATCTGCTTTTTGTGGAGAAGCAGATCTGGGAAGGTCTTCAGAGTTCTCCGTCTTAGTTTTGGCAGTCCGATGACGTTGGTTGCCGTACTTCCGCGCGGTCGACCCTTGTTCTTGGTGATCTTGGCAGGTTCCTTCAGATGTTCCAGTTCGGCGACATGCCCCAGTCGCCTCCGCATGCCTCGATCTGTGGCATAGACAGAACCAGCGCCAAAAGAGACCTGTTCGGAACTGCCAGCGAAGGGGACCTGGCGGCCCTCTTCGGCCTCACCCTGGCTAGAATTTCCTGAGGAAAAAACGGAGCGCGCCTCTGCGGCCACACCCTGCCTGGAGCTGCCCGCGGAGGAGACGGGGCGGGTGTCTCCAGCTGCGCTCTGGCTAGAAGGTTCTGAGGAGACGGGGCGCACCTCTGCAGCCACACCCTGCCTGGAGCTGCCTGCGGAGGAGACGGGGCGGGTATCTCCAGCTGCGCTCTGGCTAGAAGGTCCTGAGGAGAAGACACCTCCAGCCACGCCTTGATCTGGAGCAGAGTCTGAAGGCTGTGACTCAAAGACAGTCCGACATCACGACAGTCCGACATCAAGGGCAAACTGAATTCGGGGAGGGGCAAAAAAGTGGAAAATAACAAAAGTATCTCCCGAAACACACGGTAACAAGCAGGGGCGGGTCCGGGGAGGAGGGCCACGGGGTATACTATGCCCCCCGCCCCTGGGCCACGAAAGGGCCCATTGGCTCGGGCGGGGGGGGGGGGGTCCGACAGCCGGCCGAACACGTGCAGTTTTTTTAACACAAAACGCAACAAAACTGTGTATCTCTGGACTTTCAGGCGACCAAGAACAGTTGTAAGCGAAAGGGAAGGGCCGGCTGTAACCGGCTGGACGGACGCAGTTTCCTTACAACAAATGCACAACAAAATTGGAAGCATTTGGGCCTACAGATGACCAAAAATCATTGCTAGCAAAAGTAAAATGTTCATAAGTAAACGAGGTTCATTCTTCGCTGATTGAGTGTTGCTGGGGGGAAATTTGGGGCTCATTACGCTGTCTAGAGGCATTAGGCTGTTGGCTGCCTGTTTCTATATGTCCACTTGCTGCGCCAATCTGATCGCTAAGGAGCTTTCCACGTTACCCTTGACCTCTTCCCATTTTGTCGCAGGGCCCAATGTGCTGTTTGGACGCTACCTGCCTCCATGCTTGAGCACTGTTGATCAATCGGGTTTTCCTCCACGGATTCTACCCATTCACCCGAAAGGCTGCATACACTTTTTCTGGGACCGTATATTCCAGAGTACATTCAGTTGCCCAGGGGTCCTTCATATAAATCTCAGGTACTTTCCACTTGCTTGAAGGGCCTTGTGCCGTTGCTAGGGCTCTTATAAGGTAAGGCACGGAGACGCTCGATGCTCAGGGGCCCTCTACTTTGTTCGAGGGATCTTTTCCTGCGGTCTCATTTGCGGCTGACTTCACTCCTATCGAGACTCGTGTCGTTAACCTGCCCGTGCGCCCTTGATTGCACAGGGGTATTAATTTATGGTCCTGAATAATTTCCCTTTCCTCGGAGGGCCCTGCGCTATGACCGGGGCTTCATAGGTCAGCCTGTCGAGGCACTACCGATAGTTTAGGCGCCCACCACGTTGGTCTTGAGTTATTTTTGCTTGCTCTGAGGGCTGTATACTTGTTGATGGGAGCCACTGTGTTGGTCTACGGCACCCATTACTGCTCAGGTTTCGTCCCTATTGGCCTTGGTGCCTTCGCCTTTGAGCAGCAGTCGAACACGCGCCGATGAATTTTTACGCGCAATTGCCGGACGTAATTCTACATGTCTCTGCCGTCGTATGCGCCATTTCCACTGGCTATTCAGTGTGTCACACTCAGTTAGATTTACGGTGAACCTTCACGGGATCCTCAATATCTCCGTAGGGTGTGGACTCCCCCCCCCCCCCCCCCCATTGCATTGGAAACTACGGTGCAGTCCGATATGAAAAGTCCTACTTAGAATTCATTCCGCTTAAAAGTGAGGCAAGTTAGCATCATCACGCCGCGCTGATAGACCATGAAGCCACCCACTTAACAGCGGCCGTCGTCGAGATTCGGGCCCGGGCTTACCGCGTGAGAGACGAGGACTCCAACCATCCATCCACTGGAGATGCGGGCCCGGTGGCCGAAAATTTCTGATTAGAATAAAAATTGTTCAGAGTGAGTTGACGGATTTCGCGATTGTTGCATACACGCTCAGTGAAGAACGATGGGAGTTTGTTGACTGGGCAGGCTTTCAGGCACAATCCCACACATATAGCTTGGCGCGTCGCAATCCACTCGTGAGTTGGTTATATTTCCAAATGGCGCAGCGAAACATGTTGAAACACTGCCGTAATTCGCTGCGCTACAATGCCGCAGTGATTGTTTGATGTTTATCACGCATAGAACCGACCTCTCGCACGGGAGTCTGCATTTTTGCACTTCCTTGCCTCCAAGGCTGCCAATACGCGTATGGTTGACACGTACAACTATCTGAAAGATTTTTGGAGGGTGTATAAGCCCGGTGCGTAACCGCCCTCTGTTTTGGAGGGTGTATAAGCCCGGTGCGTAACCGCTCTCCGTTTTGGAGGGTGCATACGCACTGCCTAAAGCATTTTGACAACTTGTCATTCGGTGAATATTTCAACATTTCAGCGATTTGACGCATCGGCAAAAATACTTCTTAAAAATACCGTTTGACCTGGCATTTTACCTTCTTGATACCTTAGCGACACTCGTCGATGAAACAGGATTGGTTTGAATACGTGAGGCAAAAAACTATCCGCTAAATGTATTTCTGGCACCATTCCAGACGCGGCATGGGGCTTTTCGCAACATTGTGCAGCACTTTAGATACACACAAATTGCGATCCATGGCCAGAATGGAAATGTTGCACATGTGGCGCAGTTTAATCAAAACAAACAGTCGATGGGTCGCGGTCGTAGTGTGGTGGGCGGATCGATGCGTTGTCAGTCACGTATGCACCATAGTCTATAGAGCATTTGTTTGGAAAGAATAGGTCGCACTGCTTACCTCTTTACTGCCGTTGGTCAGGGAGCGAACTTCAGTATTCGCAGACAAGTACGAAGAGATCCTGAAAATGTCAGATCAGGACGTACGTAGGCGTCACCCGGGTGAAAGAGGAGATCCAGATAGTGAGGTGAGATTTCTAGCTGTAAAAGAACTTGCCATCACTTCCAGTTTCAACAAGGTGGCCTTAATTGAATAGGCACATGTCGGTTCTGTAGTTAGTCTGCAGGCAACAATCTCAGCATGATTTCCTGTAATGCTATCTGTATACTCAGTGAGGTGTCAAAAGGTGTTGTAAACTGCGTGAGATACCCCAGAGGCGTAACCCCACGGCCGCCAAACACACTTGGCTGTGAAACGTTGGACCCATACTTATATTCCCTCATTGTGATCATGTACCGAGGACTGAAGATAGTGTGAAGACTCCAGAGGGTATCAACATGCCTTTTGTAAAAACCTTGGCTGCTGATAGCAATATGAGAGAGTGACATGAATTCACTGGTTAATGATCCAGATAGTTTGTTGACTGTGGGGTGAGCTTGATGATCTTGGTTATGACACTCACATACATTTGCTACCTCCAACACAGTAAGGTTATCAGGCACATACTCCAGATACCATGTTGAAAAATTGCATATTTTCAGTGAATATTTGGAGGGTTTTTAAATAATTTTGGGTGGACATTCTACACAATGATGTTAAAGGAAAGCAGCCATGCATTAACAATTGAAATTTAGATGTGAATAAAGATCAAAACAGGTGACAAATTTTCAGCCTTTTTCATAGATAAAGTAAATCTTTTAGATGCATGTGTATGTTGAGTCATAGCTCACTCAAAGCAGTGCTTGTTGTTTGCAAGTCCCAACCACTACCATTCAATCATCTGATAATGCAACTCCAGGTCAGCAGGTAGAACTTTGTGGTGGGAGTTTAACATCCCAAAATGTTTGGTGCTGTGATTCCTGCCCAGTGATGCCACCTTAACTTTTGCCCATGCCAGTTCAGGGTAACTCTTGACTCTTATCTCTAAAGTGATTTAAAGTGAGAAGTGATATAAAGTGATGGGTGATATAAAGTGATAAGTGATATAAGGTGATAAGTGATATAAAGTGATGAGGATCCAGCCCACCACAGGCAGGTGATGAGAAGGCAGGAACTGTACTCAACCAGGCTTTCCAGCCTCAGGCCACAGTCACACAATTGGTCTTTTGCTTCATGATGAACTTGTCTTTAGTCTGCTCACTTTTGCTCTATTTTTATGTTCCTGCAATTGGCCAATCCCTGTCATTATATGGCAGTAGGATTATTTAACCTAGTAGTTTTCAGAGATCAGACTCATTAGAACATGCTTGGGCATGAATGGGATGGTGCTCATCAACTCATTGCTCGATGACATCTAAATTTTCGGCTTGTTATTAATCTGTGATGAATTCTGTGTGATGGTGTGCACTTGTTGGCTGGGGTTGGGGGAGGGGAGTTGGGTTGGGCTCACCAGCATAGCCAAGGGTCACAAAGGGCATGATATTCTGCTGACCTTAGATATTGTTAATGCTAGCTACCAGCTGATATCTTAGTAATTTGGTCTAAATTTGCATAGTTTGGAGGCCTTTTGAGATTTCTCCTCCCCCTGAAGGAAATGTCGGATTTGGCACCTGTTTGACCTTGTTTGACCTTGTCCTTTTCCTTCATGATGTGGTTGCAGATGGCAAGGGGCTGATAGTATCAGCTGATGCTATGCATTGGTCAGACTCAGTATCATCTGATGCTTTGTGTGTGTCAGACTCGGTTTCAAGTGATGCTATCCAGGAGTCAGATGCAAGCGTAAGTGTCTGTGTAGATCAGCTAGGCTGCCAGACTTGCATGCACAACTTTAACAGACACATTTTGGAAGTAATACAAAGATCTCTTCTCATTATGCTTTGATGCACTGATGCACAAACACATGGTGCAATGAGAGTGGGATGGGCCATGTGTTCCACCAGCTTCTCGATATGCCAGTTTGACTGGCCTTGTAGATGCTGTCTTATTATCTGCCATGTGATTTTCATGTATGATGACACCATGCGAAACATTATTTTCTATTTTTCATGGACGGAACTATGTGGTATGCAACATGCTTCATTTATAGCCACAAATGGAGATGGTGCAAGGTTTGCAGGTGCCTGTTCCCTTCCAACAATGTCGTCTTAACAGGGGCATAGTCTGCAGATGCCTGTCCCCTTCCAACAGTGTAGTCTGCCCAGGGGTGGATTTTCGCAAAATGAGTTGTGGGTGACCTGAGCAGTAAAACATGATGCAGCCATCCCTAGAATACGCCAGCACGCGGATTTCTCCCGCGCATTTGGCCCACTTTTGAGAAGGGGGGGGGGAAGGAGGCTCGAGCCCAAGTTGGAGGGGATGGGAGCTGGGAGCTGGGAGATGGGAGCCTCCACTGGTGTTTTGGGGATCCGATCCGGCGACAACTGACAGCTGGGGTCGGGTCGGGTCATGCGCGTTGATGTACATGAAGTGTATATCTCCGTGCAGCTCTTCACACACCCTGCTTGGGGGGAGGGGAAGGGGCAAGGGTTCGGTTCAGGTCATCAGTTTAAGCCTCTGGCAATCGGCTTACTTTTTGCCGTGTGGAAAATTTGCACCTCTTCTGGCCTGTTCCATGCCTCTGCCTTCTTCCCATCGCGGTCCATGAGATTTCATAACAATGGGGTCAACACCGCGCTTGATCGTCACCGAGCACGAGTGCGGGTGCGGCACCATCGGCCCGTTGTACGCCGTCAGTCACGCCAGTACTGCGGTCGGGGCTCGTGCCGTGCCTGCCATAGTGGGCCCGCATGGTTCTCAGAGCCTGCAGGCGGTGTTTGGGCCTGGCGTCGCGTGACGTGCTGGCGTGGGGGCTGACTTCTGATGTGTCTGTGGCGACCCCGCCAACCCCCCCCCCCCCCCCACTCCCACCCCGCCGTTCGCCAGTTAGATATCAGATACATCATGTATACCAGGGTATGCGTTACGCTATGGGAGTAAAAGAATAGCGTCAGTCGACAGGGGTTCAAATCCTGCACGCTGCAATATTATTTCACCGCCTGACCCGGCAGCGGGCGCCGCTGGCCCGTCACCGCGGCCCGTTCGCCGCCGCTCCCCAGCAGGAAGCCCGCCGCCTGCCGCCCTCCGTCCGTCGGGCTTCACGGGCCACCAGGTCGGCCGCGGGTCAATACGTCGTGCGGCAGCAGCCCTGGGGCGGGGGGGGGGGGGGGGGGGGGGGCGCCGTGGCCCGTGAGAGCCAAGTCACGCCATAAAGTTCCAGCAGCTGCGCGTGTCCTAAAGCCGCACTGACGACGGTGGCAATCATCGAAACCAAACTTACCGCGCATTAGTTTTGTCACAGCCTTTTTTTTGTCGGATCGGATAGGTCTTACTGTGCCAGGTCTCCTAGATTATCAGCACTCACCGCACCAGGGACATTGGTCCGTAGTCCGTGGACCGTAGACCACTGGCCCGTGGTCCCTGGTCCACAGCCCCTGGTCCGCAGTCCACAGTCCCTGGTCAGCAGTTCCTGGTCCGCCTAGCTTCGTACCTTGATCAGTATGGGCCCCGCGCTGTGCTGTGAGTCAGCGCGCTGGTCCGCCGGCGGGGTGGGGCTGGCCTGTGAGTCAGCGCGCTGGTCCGTCGGCGAGGTGGGGCTGACCAGCTTGGGACGAGGTCATGGCCAGCCAGATAGGCCATGGCCAGATAGGCCTGTGGTGGGCATCCACAGTGCTTCTCGGTCAGAGGGAGGTAGGCGCTGTACGGATAACAAACGCTTGACTTGTAGTGGTACTTATCTGGCAGGCAGAGATGGAAGTGATGGTGGAACGCTTGTCAGGCTGCCTGAGGGGAAGGGAGGAGACGGGATAGGAGGGGAGGGAGAGGTGTTGTGGTCCATTGTTTATACGACCGATGAAAACAAAGCAAATGCGGTATTTGAAGCTAGACATTGCAGGAGCTTCTGCGGTTGTACTACACTAGCGCTACGGAGAGATACGAGACCGGAAAGGCGCGTGACCCGCACCCACCCGACCTTGAGCGGTATCTCGCCCTTTTGGACTCACTGAAGCACGGCGAAGGCGTCGCTGCTGGATTGTTTTCACTGCCGTAGAGTTCTGGAGTTGGCGTGCAAAAATAAACCGCGGGACACGTGCTGAGAGTGTGCCCATGTGGGTCACACGGTCAATCAACGCGCCTCCCTCACGGAAGCTGGGCGTCAGCGCGCTCGCGGGCAGACCAGATGTTTCGTGTTCAGCTCGTGTGTTACCCCTTACGCCGCTGTGTCGTGTGAAGCGTGTCATGTTCGTTGTTAGTCACCCCTGTCGTCGTCAGTCGCCCCTGGCAATCACCCCTGGCGCTGTCAGTCGCCCCTTTCGTTGTCAGTCACCCCTGGGTTTTTAGTCGCCTGTGGTATTGTCAGTCACCCCTGGTGTTGTCAGTCACCCCTAGCGTTGTCAGTCACCCCTGGTGTTGTCATTCACCCCTGGGTTTTTAGTCGCCTGTGGTGTTGTCAGTCACCCCTGGCGCTGTCAGTCGCCCCTAGCGTTGTCAGTCACCCCTGGTGTTGTCAGTCATCCTGGCGTTGTCAGTCACCCTGGCGTTGTCAGTCACCCCTGGTGTTGTCAGTCACCCCTGGGTTTTTAGTCGCCTGTGGTGTTGTCAGTCACCCGTGGTGATGTCTGTCACCCCTGGCGCTGTCAGTCGCCCCTAGCGTTGTCAGTCACCCCTGGCGCTGTCAGTCGCCCCTAGCGTTGTCAGTCACCCCTGGCGCTGTCAGTCGCCCCTAGCGTTGTCAGTCACCCCTGGCGCTGTAAGTCGCCCCTAGCGTTGTCAGTCACCCTTGGTGTTGTCAGTCACCCCTGGCGCTGTCAGTCGCCCCTAGCGTTGTCAGTCACCCTAGCGTTGTCAGTCACCCGTGGTGTTGTCAGTCACCCCTGGCGTTGTCAGTCACCCCTGGCGTTGTCAGTCACCCCTGGCGTTGTCAGTCACCCCTGGTGTTGTCAGTCACCCCTGGCGTTGTCAGTCACCCCTGGCGTTGTCAGTCACCCCTGGTGTTGTCAGTCACCCCTTGTGTTGTCAGTCACCCCTGGCGTTGTCGGTCACCCCTGGCGTTGTCAGTCACCCCTGGTGTTATCAGTCACCCCTGGCGTTGTCAGTCACCCCTGGCGTTGTCAGTCACCCCTGGTGTTGTCAGTCACCCCTGACGTTCTCAGCCACCCGTGGTGTACGGGCGCCAGCTCACCAGCAAGTCAGCTGGCGTGGCTCCGTGGCCGGATGACTAACTCACTGTCAACCAACAGCGATTTGTATTTGCGATGCTTTTACGCACGTGTCCTCCGTTGTTGCCTCTTGCGTATGCCGGGATTGGACGTCGGTTGCCGGTTGCGCCGTTGACAATGCGTGCCTTCCAGATGAACATTGCCGAGGAAAAAGTAAGGCAGTCTTGGTGTTGTGCTGTGTGGTCTACGCGTCTTCCTGCACTCTTAACCCAGCGTGTCTAGAGCTCTTAGCACTAGAGCACTAGAGCTCCTAGCACTCTTAGCGCAATGTGTGTGGGACACTCGTCGTTCCACCCCTCACTGCCCGTAGCATCGACTGACCCGCCGTAATCGGGCAGCGCAGTTTAAAGGCTCACTCTTTTTTGCGCTTGCTCTGTTCTCGTCTTCTGCTGTCTGGTTTTCCATCTTTCTATGTCTTGTTTTTAGGTGATCGGACCTCGTGGCCGGTTCTTTGCGTCAGGCTGCGTAAGCTGGCATTCATGATGCCTAGGCCCCTTTGGAGACCACTAACTTTTGGACGTCACGAGTTGTGGCAGTGCCAGTGTTCATAATGTTCCCGAATCGTAACTTTTTTAAAGTATGATTTCTCCAATTTTTAATCCATTTTTTCGTGCTCATAGAAGGCGTATTTCGCCCATTAGGTGTGTGAAATTCGGTTTGATTTTCGCCCACTGATTTTTTCCGCTCAGTTAGTGTTCATTACTTACATAGCGTTTACCTCCGGTGGCCGTCGTGTTGAATGAGAAGTTAGTATGAGCATGATGCCTAGATTTGCCACAAGCTGGTACGCTAGGTACTAAGGCTTTTGTGTGTTCGGTCTTAGAAATATGTCTGAAGTTTCCTCGTGTGATTCGTGTTACGAATGTATAGTCACCCGACAACTGATACACTCGTATGATTTCTCAGCCGACTTGCACATCTGGCGATTTTCGCCGGTCACCACCTGTCCTCTGAGTCTCAGTTTGTTGTTGTGGTATCACCGCCCTGCTCTCACGTCCTCCACATGTACAGCAGCACCTCTAGGCCGCCGTCGCATTCCCCGCCACGCCATTCGCGGCTTGTCTCGGCACATGTCTGCGCCGTCATCAGCAGCGGCCGGTACACGGGGGCTCGGTTGGACCGGCGTCGTCAGCGGCGGCCGGTACACGGGGGCTCGACGGGGCCGGCGCCATCAGCGGCGGCCGGTACACCGGGGCTCGGTGGGGCCGGCGTCGTCAGCGGTGGCCGGTACACCGGGGCTCGGTGGGGCCGGCGTCGTCAGCGGTGGCCGGTACACGGGGGCTCGGTTGGACCGGCGTCATCAGCGGCGGCAGGTACACGGGGGCTCGGTTGGACCGGCGTCGTCAGCGGCGGCCCGTACACGGGGGCTCGGTTGGGCCGGCGTCAGCGGCGGCCGGTACACGGGGGCTCGGTTGGACCGGCGTCATCAGCGGCGGCCGGTACACGGGGCTCGGCGGGGCCGGCGTCATCAGCGGCGGCCGGTACACGGGGGCTCGGCGGGGCCGGCGTCATCAGCGGCGGCCGGTACACGGGGGCTCGGGCTCGCCTCCGCCTCCGCCCTCCGCACGCGGAAGTGTGTGGCGCTGGTGTGACGCGCCTCCGTGACACATGCGTTTGTGGGTGTTGTGCGTCTCGCTGAGATGAAGTGGTTTGAAGTGCGGCTGCACGTGCAGCCGGCGTGCAGCCACGGTGTCTCTGCCCGTGTCGCGCCCGCCCAGAACTCGCCTGCCGTGATTTGCACCTTTGCGACGCGACGTATTCGGCCTTGTGGGACGGGGAATCAGTGCGTGCCCGTTAAATGCTACCGAGTAAAAGCATACGCGTCAGTGCTGTGGCCAGGTACCGTTCATGATCTCTTTGGTCTGAGTTCTGGATCCGCAGACAACACAGAAACAGCCGGTCAGCTCGCCTACACACCGGGGAACACACGTTTTTGTAAAATACACAAGTTCAAATAATTCTACTGATGGGCTTAGCGCATTAGATGCTGAGCAAAATGTTGTTCCACGTTGAGTAAACGCTGTTCACCAGACCCGCCAGGCTATTCCCGATGTTGTATTGGTGCGACAGCTGTCACATCGCATCGTGCTGTTTGGCTAGCACCACTTGCGTCAGCGAGGCGTGAGTGCCATACGCGCCGCTGTGCAGCGCGCCCGAATGCTGTGACAGATGTGACTGAGCGTTCGGTGTGACAGATGTGACAGATCGTTACGCCTCATCGTCGCGTGTGACCGGTGGGGCGGGTTTGTGATGCGCGGGACGAAGGCACGGCTGTATGTGGCGGCCACATTGGTCACCCTGTGTGGCCAGTGTTATAATATTCGGCCTCTTGGGCGGCATGAATGTCGACATTTTTCATGCTATTACAACCCGGCTTGGGGCTCGCCGCCTATTGCCCCTTCTCCTGTTCATAATCGGCCAATAAGCATCGAACTGGGCGGCTGTTAACCCCAGTACCTAAGCTCCTCAGGCGTGACAAACGAGCTGGGCAGGTCAGATGTCTGGGCTCGGGGTGAAAGGTCAACGGATTAGCGCCAACGAGTGGTGTGCTGGGCCGCCGGAGAGCCAGTATTTTGGCAGCATGAATTTATGTTTACATCCTGCACGCCCTGCTGAAAGAATTTTGGAAAGCTTCGTGTGGCGCCCACATGGGGCACCTTGTGTGGCGGCCACGTAAGGCACCCAAGTATGGTGACCACATAGGGCACCAAGTGTGGCGGCCACATGGGGCACCTTGTGTGGCGGCCACATAGAGCACCAAGTGTGGCGGCCACACCGGACGCCTTGTGTGGCGTCCACATGGGACGCCTTGTTTGGCAGCTTTGGATCACAATGGTGTGACCAATGTGCCAAAATGTCTTCAGCGAAGGGTGTCTGTGTGGTTTGCGTGGTCCTTGGGTTCCATGTAGTCTTTGTGGTCTGTGTGGTCTGTGTGGTGTCGTTCTTGCTTGTGCGGTCCGTGCGATGTCTGTTCTGCTCGGCGTTGTTGTCCAGCTCGGCAGCCGGGAGCGTCGTAGCGCAGCTGGCAAAGCGCTCTTTCACAACAGCGCTCGCTTTAGTCTCTAGTTCGAGCCTGGCCACCAGCCTGTTTTTCCGTTGCTTCTGGCAGCAGTCGGCTGGAGATGCGGCACCACGGATTGACCCCAACGGCGCCACAGTCTCGCCGGGGGTCGAGTGGGGCACCGGGTGAACCTCGTAAGCCTGCGCAACCGTGACCGACCTGTGACCTTTCGTGACCTGCCGCCGCCGCCGCCGACAGACAGCCGACTCGGACGCGGTGCCGGAGGCGGCCGACTCGGAGCCAGAGGATGTGGCCAAGGCCGTGGGCCAGGGCACCGACAGCACCCCGGAGGTGCTGGACGGCGCGCTGTCCGGCCTGCCGCCCAGGTCAGCCTCCCACCCGGAGTCGGTCCGATTTGACCCGATTCGACCTGACCTGGCGCGATCTGATCTCCGCCCTGCCGCCCAGCTGAGTCACGCCCTCCTGCCTGAGTCCGCGGCCCGTGCTGTGACCGATCTGGCATGACGTGACCTTACCTGACCCAGCCCGGTCCAATCGCCGCCCTGGGCACCGGGTCAGTCACCCGCGCTGGACCTGACCTGACCTGACCTGATATGACCCAAACAGGTCTGACCTTACCTCACCGGACCCAATGCAACATCCAGCCCAGGTTAGGTACTTCAGAAGCTGGTTAGGAGGAGGTCAAAAGCTGGTCGGCCTTCAGCCTTGCCCCGACGCCGATCCTGCCCCGCCAACTGCAGAAACAAACACTTGACTCGTCATGCCAGCTCGCTGCGCGGCGCTCGGCGTAAACACAGGGGTGTAGTTCAACCTATATTTGACTCATTAGGGGTGTGGTATAAGTATTTGCGTATCATCCCTGCAACGTTATACTGTCGCCGTGATGTTAAACTGTGGGTTCACTTGATCTGCGGCCGGTTTGGAGTCTGCGTTCGACTGCAGCTGCCTGTGTTCGGTTGTAACTGACTGTGAGTGTTCTACGGGCTGTGGTGGCGATGTCCGGTTATGACCGGCTGAAACCGGCTGTAACCGGCTGTGTCTGGCCCGCCCTCGACAGATGGCGCAACTGGGTGATCCGCGGCATCTTCACCTGGGTCATGATCGCCGGCTTCGGCTGGATCATCTACATGGGACCGCTAGCATTGATGGCCATCGTGAGTTCACCGTTTAAGTTCTGTGGTATGTGGTATGAGAACCACAGCCGTTGGTTTTACAGCAGCTGTGTTGAGGTGGGCACGTGCGGCGGCACGGGAGGAGGAGGACGGAAAGGTTGTCCATAGGTCGCTCCTGGCCGGTCCTGATCGAATGCTGTGACCTGTTAAAGATCAACTCATTTTGTATCGATACCCTCGTGCCTAGTTGTCCGTGGTTACACATGCCATAGGTATATATATATATATATATATATATATATATATATATATATATACATCTGATGGCGCGTCAGTTCACCTGCCCAGGAGGGGATGCTATTGCGCAGGACCTTAGGGGATCATCTTGTCTGCAATCTTTCGCCGTTTGGCACTCGCCTCTGATGACATTCTGTGTGAAAACGCGTAGGGCTGGTGACACCCGGGCGCATAATAGCGCGTGTGGAAACGTGTGTGATGACCCTTGTGCCATGGTGATGACCTGTGCATGGTGACGCTCGAGTGGTAACCCTGTGAGGGTGCGTGCGAGGAGCTCCGTGTGATGACACGTGTGATGATCCCGTGTGATCACTCGCACGTGCCGTCGTCAGACGCTGATGGTGCAGGTCAAGTGCTTCTCGGAGATCATCAACATCGGCTACGCCGTGTACCGCATCCACGGCCTGCCCTGGTTCCGGTCTCTCAGCTGGTGGTTCCTGCTCTGCTCCAACTACTTCTTCTACGGCGAGAGTCTCGTGGACTACTTCATCGTCCTGGTGAACAAGCTGGTGCGTGGCGGGATGGCGGCGGCGGGGGGGGGGGGGGGGGGGGGCGTTGGGGAGGAGGGCTTCGGGGGCGGGGACATCGGGGTCACCGCGTGTTACGCCGTGCACCGTGGCCCACACACGCCCAGCTGGCCAGCTTCTTTCGCGGGTTTTGTTTAAGGTCAGTACGGCGCGAATCCATCATCTAACGGCAAGGCGTTCTTTGTCCGGCCTTGCCGGCCAATGGTCGGGATGCCGCTCTATTGTCGGACTCTGCACAAATCCCCGGCAGCAAAACAGCGAATACGTTAACAAACAAGTGGACGGCAGTGCAGCGCCATTCGCGTGTGACGTTGAAAACGGTCGTTTGTAATCCGCGGTGCAGATGGCGGTGCCTACGTAAATGCCTCTTGGGTAAATATAACTCGGCTTCAGACCCAGTAGTCTTGGGGTTTAGCGCACTTGCTGATGACTGTGGAAGCGCTTTAGGACGCGGACTTTGCGCACCTCCCCTCAGCTGATGCCTGCACCCTCTGAAACACTGAAAGCGTTTATAGACCTGCAATCTGCGCACAGGTCAAATATGCATTCGCCCGCCACCACCGTTTGCCGCGCTCGTTTGTCTGATATTGACTCAAACTGTGAACAACGCGACTCATGTGACGCTGACCTCAGCTATGAGAGCAGTCGCTCCTCCTGTTGACAGTGACCATGGCGCTACAGTGACCGTGGCGCTGACAGTGACCATGGTGCGGACAGTGACCATGGTGCTGACAGTGACCACGGCGTTGACAGTGACCATGGCGCTGACAGTGACCATGGCGCCGACAGTGACCGTGGCGCTGACCGCACGCCGCGCCGACCACGTTCTGACCCGTTGGTCGGCGCGTGTTAGCCCTCCGGCCGTGCGGTATATCCGTGAGCGCGCAACAGGTGTTGTTATGGTCAGCTGTGCCGCGCTCCGTTGGCCGGTGCTTGGCCGGGCCGGCGGCATGACGTCGCTCCAGGGATCGATGCCGCCCCGTTTATTCGATGAGACGGGGAGGCGGGCACAATGCACGTGGAGACTGCAGACAGATGCCGCCGCGGTTCAGTCGGCATACAAAAACAGGCGGTGGATAGTCCCTGCAGTAGCACCGGCGTTTTTCAGTAGAGACAAAGACGGGCAGAGACAAGAGAGTGACTTTGGATTTGGGAGGCAGTTGCGATTCGTGCCGCCCCACAAGTATGTCTCATGTAGCTCTTGACTACTTTATGTTCCGTTTATCGCGCTCCTCCACGCGTCCCTCCCCTCCCACCCCTCCCACCCGTTTCGCCCAGCCCTGCTCTGACCGTCTGTGGCCGTGTTCCCAGGAGTTCCTGCGCGTGCTGGTGACTTACCACCGGCTGATCTCCTTCGTGCTGTACATCATCGGCTTCGTCTGGTTCGTGCTGTCGCTGGTGAAGAAGTATTACATGAAGCAGTTCAGCCTGTTCGCCTGGACCCACGTGGCGCTGCTGATCGTGGTCACCCAGAGCTACCTCATCATCCAAAACATCTTCGAGGGCATGATCTGGTGCGTGATTCTCGCCTCGCCTCGCCTCGCCTCGCCTCGCATTGCCTCTTCTCACCTCGCCTGGCCTCGCCTCACTTTGCCTGGCCATGCCTGGCCTTGCCTTGCCTTGCCTTGCCTTGCCTTGCCTTGCCTTGCCTTGCCTTGCCTTGCCTTGCCTTGCCTTGCCTTGCCTTGCCTTGCCTTGCCTTGCCTTGCCTTGCCTTGCCTTGCCTTGCCTTGCCTTGCCTTGCCTTGCCTTGCCTTGCCTTGCCTTGCCTTGCCTTGCCTTGCCTTGCCTTGCATCCATCAGTCCACTGCTCCATGGAGAGGGGGGGAGGGGGCGTAGCTCAGGTGTTCAGGTTATACTCCCGCGCCCGAGTGGCGACTGCGGCGCGCTGCTCGCAGTCAAACGCTTGAGTTAATGCTGCGGTTAAGCGGCTGGGGTCGAGCCGATCGGGAAATCAATTCGTTTTGGAAGACCAGATCGATGAAGGAGAGAAGTTCGATCGGTAGAGCCCCAATGCTCAGCAGAGGACCAGACCGATGGCCTCAGTTGAACGAGCGATGTGTTTGCGTATATGTGGTTTGCTTCTTTGGTCATGTGACATTCAGCTCGTTGTATATTCAGGCCGAATCTAACGTGAGTTGCTAACGCCAAGCATAACAGTAGTGGCCTGATACTGCCGACTGACTTGCCAGTGGATGGGCAGGCCTTGGGTGGACATAAAAGTAAATAAAAGTCAAATCTTCCATAATAACAGACCATTCACACGGCATTTGCACCATTTTCGATTCCGCTCGTACAAGCTCTGCCACTCGCACGCGCGCGACACCGCCTCCCGCCGACGGTGACGTCACACCGCTGACGGCATGACGTCGCTCGCGCAGGTTCATCGTGCCGGTCTCGATGATCATCATCAACGACGTGATGGCCTACATGTTCGGCTTCTTCTTCGGACGCACGCCGCTGATCCAGCTGTCGCCGAAGAAGACCTGGGAGGGCTTCATTGGCGGCGGCGTGGCCACCGTTCTCATGGGCCTGCTCGTGAGTGCCTGCCGCCGCCGGCGGGCGCGGAGAACGCTTCGGCAGGGGGCGCTGCTGGAGGCGGGTACCGGGCGGAGGTGCCGCGGCGGGGCTGCGGAGCGGGCACGGTCGGAACGGAGGTGCCGCGGCGGGGCTGCGGAGCGGGCACGGTCGGAGCGGAGGTGTCGTGGCGGGGCTGCGGAGCGGGCACGGTCGGAGCGGAGATGTCGTGGCGGGGCTGCGGAGCGGGCACGGTCGGAGCGGAGGTGTCGTGGCGGGGCTGCGGAGCGGGCACGGTCGGAGCGGGGATGTCGTGGCGGGGCTGCGGAGCGGGCACGGTCGGAGCGGAGATGTCGTGGCGGGGCTGCGGAGCGGGCACGGTCGGAGCGGAGATGTCGTGGCGGGGCTGCGGAGCGGGCACGGTCGGAGCGGAGATGTCGTGGCGGGGCTGCGGAGCGGGCACGGTCGGAGCGGAGATGTCGTGGCGGGGCTGCGGAGCGGGCACGGTCGGAGCGGGGATGTCGTGGCGGGGCTGCGGAGCGGGCACGGTCGGAGCGGGGATGTCGTGGCGGGGCTGCGGAGCGGGCACGGTCGGAGCGGAGATGTCGTGGCGGGGCTGCGGAGCGGGCACGGTCGGAGCGGAGACGTCGTGGCGGGGCTGCGGAGCGGGCACGGTCGGAGCGGAGATGTCGTGGCGGGGCTGCGGAGCGGGCACGGTCGGAGCGGAGGTGTCGTGGCGGGGCTGCGGAGCGGGCACGGTCGGAGCGGGGATGTCGTGGCGGGGCTGCGGAGCGGGCACGGTCGGAGCGAAGGTGTCGCGGCGGGGCTGCGGAGCGGGCACGGTCGGAGCGGGGATGTCGTGGCGGGGCTGCGGAGCGGGCACGGTCGGAGCGAAGGTGTCGCGGCGGGGCTGCGGAGTGGGCACGGTCGGAGCGGGGATGTCGTGGCGGGGCTGCGGAGCGGGCACGGTCGGAGCGGAGACGTCGTGGCGGGGCTGCGGAGCGGGCACGGTCGGAGCGAAGGGTGTCGCGGCGGGGCTGCGGAGTGGGCACGGTCGGAGCGGGGATGTCGTGGCGGGGCTGCGGAGCGGGCACGGTCGGAGCGGAGACGTCGTGGCGGGGCTGCGGAGCGGGCACGGTCGGAGCGAAGGTGTCGTGGCGGGGCTGCGGAGCGGGCACGGTCGGAGCGAAGGTGTCGCGGCGGGGCTGCGGAGTGGGCACGGTCGGAGCGGGGATGTCGTGGCGGGGCTGCGGAGCGGGCACGGTCGGAGCGGAGACGTCGTGGCGGGGCTGCGGAGCGGGCACGGTCGGAGCGAAGGTGTCGTGGCGGGGCTGCGGAGCGGGCACGGTCGGAGCGAAGGTGTCGCGGCGGGGCTGCGGAGCGGGCACGGTCGGAGCGAAGGTGTCGTGGCGGGGCTGCGGAGCGGGCACGGTCGGAGCGAAGGTGTCGCGGCGGGGCTGCGGAGTGGGCACGGTCGGAGCGGGGATGTCGTGGCGGGGCTGCGGAGCGGGCACGGTCGGAGCGGAGACGTCGTGGCGGGGCTGCGGAGCGGGCACGGTCGGAGCGAAGGTGTCGCGGCGGGGCTGCGGAGTGGGCACGGTCGGAGCGGGGATGTCGTGGCGGGGCTGCGGAGCGGGCACGGTCGGAGCGGAGACGTCGTGGCGGGGCTGCGGAGCGGGCACGGTCGGAGCGAAGGTGTCGTGGCGGGGCTGCGGAGCGGGCACGGTCGGAGCGAAGGTGTCGCGGCGGGGCTGCGGAGTGGGCACGGTCGGAGCGGGGATGTCGTGGCGGGGCTGCGGAGCGGGCACGGTCGGAGCGGAGACGTCGTGGCGGGGCTGCGGAGCGGGCACGGTCGGAGCGAAGGTGTCGTGGCGGGGCTGCGGAGCGGGCACGGTCGGAGCGGAGGGCGCATGGGCGCTGGCACACTGGGCTACCGGCCGACGCGATGCGACGTCACGATGGCACGGGCGGTCGTGAGGACGGGGCGGTATATAGGCAGAGAACAATGGCGGTTCTTCCTATTAGAGAATGGTGGTAGATTGTTGCGTGAGTGGCAGCGTGGTGCCGGCGTGAGTGGTGGTAGATTGTTGAGTGAGTGGCAGCGTGGTGCCGGCGTGAGTGGTGGTAGATTGTTGAGTGAGTGGCAGCGTGGTGCCGGCGTGAGTGGTGGTAGATTGCTGAGTGAGTGGCAGCGTGGTGCCGGCGTGAGTGGTGGTAGATTGTTGAGTGAGTGGCAGCCTGCTGCCGGTGCCCGCGGTGGCGCCGGTCTGGCAGCACCGCCGCCGGCCCGCGGGACAGGTCACGGACATCTCTCTCGTCGATGGCAGCGGCTGCTCAAACCCTCGGTTCGCCTGCCGATGCTCGTGTGCACGCTTAGAACGGCTGCCATGCTTGGCAATGTGGGGATGGGGTGAGCTGATAGCGTTTCGCGTGCTGCTCTTGCGGCAGAGACAGTGATTGGCTGGGGAACGGCGGGGGGGGGGGTTGCTGATGCAAGGCGAGTGAAGTTATTAGAGACACCAGTTCTTTGGTAGAACTCCAGGTGAGCAGCTTGTGTACTCAAGGTGTTGTGGCAGCTTTGGCACCTCTCTGCCTGGCCTGGCTCGATACCTGTCTTGTCGACGTTCGCGAGGGGTTACCCGGTACCGCATAAGACGAACACTTAGTGACAGTCTCCCAGCTAAAACCTGCTTAGAATACCGACACAATATTCGTCAGTTTTCCCATCATCTCCAGTTGGAAGCCAGGTACCATAAACTATCATTACACAATGAAGCACTGCCGAGCCGTCACCCGTCCCGTTGCCCCCACTCCTCGCCTAAACATAACTCCTTACAACACCACACAAGTCCCACACCGTAACTCCTTTCAACACCATATGAACCACACGCTATAACTCCTGACAACACCATAAAATCCCATGGCATAACCCCTGGCAACACCATATCACTCCTGCACTATAAGTCCTGAGACCATATAAATGCCACACCAAACTCCTTAAACACCATATAATTCCGGCATCACAACTCCTGACAAAGACAACGCCCGCACCATAAGTCCTGACACACCATATAACTCCCACACCAAACTCCTTAAACACCCTACAATTCCGACATCATAACTCCTGACAAAGAGAACTCCCGCACCATAAGTCCTGACACACCATAAAACTCCCACACGAAACTCCTTACAACACCATGTGATTCCCCATATCACAACTCCTTACAACACCAGATAACTCCCACCCGATATCTCCTGACAACACGGCCGTCTGGCTGGCGTCAGCTGCGGCCGTCAGCTGCCAGCCGGCTGGACGGCCGCCCGGTTAGGACTCCCCCTCCCCCCCCTCCCCACGGCGGCCTCCCCTGACCCCAGAGAAGGGCCTCACGCCGAGCGCGTCTGTGAAGACCTCCCGCAGTGGCCGCTGTCTTGCCTCCTCTCTGAGCCCTGTTTGTCACATGTTAAATCACATAGTGCCAGTTCCAAGGACAATGCGTTTGCTGGCCGAATGAGCTCAAAGGCACACCGATCAAACAAGTCGTGCGATATCATACTGCATGGTTTTACGCCGCCGCGCGCCCGTCTCCCCATGTAGGCCGGCCGCGCCGGGCGTCCGCCAGTGAGTGACTGGACGCTCCCCGGCCGGCCGGCAACAGCTGGCGCGCCGCCGCTGTGACGTCACGGATCGATTAAGCCGCGTGGCAGCGGCGGTGCCAGGGACGGGCAGGTGGGGGGGTTCGGGGTTTGGAGCGTGGCGTGCTGGCTTGTGCAGGTCGAACACGTGCGCACGAGCCTGTGATTGTCATCAGCAAGGAAATTGTGTAAAGTATGTTTTGCTCTTATCGAGTGGTCGGTCCATATTTCCTAGTTGCCTGAGTGCGCCCCTGTCTATCCGATAAGCCGGCGGCTACGGCCGTGGCGTGCGGGACGTGCTGCCCAGGAAACCAGTGGTGAGGACTGGTGTTCACAGAGGCCGCTGATGTGAACGCCACAAAATGCGTGCGATTTGGCTCAATTTTTGGCCTTTTGAGTCGTTTTTAAGTCGATGGTTTGACGGAAGTCTTTGGCCGTAAAATCACTTAATTTACTGTTTGCTTTTGGTGGCGAACATTCGTGGCAAGGCTCGGATGGAGCAAATTCTGTTAGGTGTCTCGCTCTGTGGTATAAGCATTGAATTCATATACTTGTCTCAATCATTCGCGTGCGCAAGACCTTACTTCTACAGGATCATTTCTATAGGTCTTATCGCGATCATTCTCCCGAATTTTCGCGTGTCTCAAGCCACGATGAGGAGTTGTGGTGATCTCTCTTGAGCGGGAAGTGGGCTGGAGTTCCTCCTCACCGAGGAGTTCCAGCCGTTGAAGACCGTTCCGTTACCTGTCTAGGCAGGGAGCGGGGGAGAGATCACGTTCTGAGTGGTCTGAATTGAAATGCGGAACTGAAAACGAGAGAGCGCGGGTGGGGTCGGCGCTTGGGTGCACGGTGGGGTATTGGCAGCGGCGACGGGCGCCCGTGGCGCTTTTTTTCGGTGATCTCCGTACGGTTCATTTCTAGTTTTGCCTCATCTACGCGTTTGAGAGCTCTGCCTTGGCGATTTTAGTAGTGTCTGCGGGTGACGAAACTAATATTAGCTGTTGGTTTGTTCCGAAGAAATAATTTGGCCGACAGCTGGTACGCGTCAGTTGTCTTCGGTTAGGAGGATTTTGTTAGTTGGTTGAAATCTCGACATAGTTTCTAGTTGTCCCAGCCATTGCCTGACTGGGGCAACTGGAAGTACCAGCAGCGACTTCACATTGTTCTGTTTGGTGGAGGTTTTTTGCGAATGAGTGTTACTAGGTAGTCTTCTTGCCGTTGCATCGCTGTTGTTCAGCGCCCTTTGAGGACGTACATCTGTATTAATAATTCAGTCATTCTTGTGCGTGTTTGCTACCAAAAAAGCGTGCGAAGAGCGGGCTACAACACATCGCCGTCTTCGCGGGCCGATTTACCATGTTTGTCCTCCGTGACGTTATTTGTGGCATTGCTGACGTCAGTCGTCGTTTCCAGATGTCGCAGCAGCTGGCGCGCTACCCGTACTTCACGTGTCCGCTGGAGTACAACGAATCCTTGGACGGCATCAGTTTCCAGTGTGAGCAGCCGCCCCAGTTCGTATCGCAGGACTTTGCGCTGCCAGCCTGCCTGGCAACACTCTGCCGCCTGGTAGGTACTAAACGCGTGCTGGTAGACACTAGATTGACAGGTAGTCAGAAGGTGGGTGTGTGGAAGGTGTCTAGAATCCGATCACCGCGAGGGCATTTTCGGAGAAGACCGCCAAGGCGGCTGCCAACCCCTGCCGAGATTTCCGGACGTCAACATTGTTATGGCTGCTTGTCAGCCTGTTTCAATCGCAGTTGAAATGTATGTTATGATTGGCTCCTTACAAGCCGACATTGACTCCTTGCAGGTATTTACGAGTGCATGCATAGGTGCGCTATTGGTGGACCCAGCGTCATGTCACCTTGCAGTCCGTCTGTCACTTCGCAGTCCACTTGAGGTTGACCCATGAACGGTGCACACACACGCACGCACGCACGCACGCACGCACGCACACCGGCGAGGACTCCGCCAGGCTCCAGGCGCGGTCACTGGCCGCGCGTTCCCAGACCGAGCCAGCTGAGCCTCCGACCGATACAGGTGCAACGGACGCTCTGACATACAGACACCACCGATACGCTACGCTGACAGGTACAGATGCTCTGACCGATACGACTCAGACTCGGGGTGACTATTCGTCGGCAAACTCCCGCGACCAAGGCAGGGGTCCGATCCTCGCTCAGGCGTGGCTGATTCAGAGTCGGGGTGCGACTCTGGCTCGAGGGTCACAGTGACTCAGGGGCGTTCGACTCCGACTCCCAGGTGGGCGTGTCACCGATTCTGCGCTTCTCGCCGTTCCTGATCCACGCCTTCGTCATGGGCCTCTTCAGCTCCATCATCGGACCGTTCGGAGGCTTCTTCGCCAGCGGATTCAAGCGAGCCTTCAAGATCAAGGTCAGAGTTGCGCACGTCGCGTTTGAGACGATCAGGCTAACGCCGCTGGGAACATCGGCGCCACTTTGTGTGGGGTGGGTGCAGAGAGTTCTACACTGGCTTAAGTTGGCGTATGAAATCCATCCCAATCTTTGGATGTACCTGTTGTTGATTGTTAATGACTTGCTTTTCAATATCTCCAGTGCAATAGCTGTCACATTCTACAATATACCATGAGTTGCAAGAGACGTCGAAGTATATTGGTACATTTTATTGATTGCGTTTGTCCTGTTGCTTGCTTTTGACGTAAAATAACCAGTTGCAAGGAACATTTGGAGGTACCCTATTGTGCACGGCATGTCAGGTCACAACTAAGACGGCATGTCGTGGTCATGCCTACACATTCTGTGGAAAATAACAGCATGTTTATTGTGGAAATAACCAAATATTTGTAGTGAAATCGCACCATATTTTGGGTGCAAATCACGTACAGAAGGCATTAAGAATCAATGAAAGCCTCAAGGGATTGACGATGATTTTCCACACACCAACTTGTGGTCTCAGTGACCAGTCCACACCAGCATGTGGTGTCGGTTACCAGTCCCACCAACTTATGGTGTCAGCAAGCAGTCCACACCAACTTGTGTTGTCAGTTACCAGTTCACACCAACTTGTGGCCTCAGCTGCCAGTCCACACCAACTTGTGGTGTCAGTTACCGGTCCACACCAACTTATGGTGTCAGTTACCAGTCCACACCAAATTGTGGTGTCAGTTACCAGTCCACACCAACTTATGGCGTCAGGTAGCTAACCACACCAACTTGTGGTGTCAGCTGCCAGTCAACACCAACTTATGGTGTCAGCAGTCCACACCAACTTGTGGTGTCAGCTACCAGTCCACACCAACTTATGGTGTCAGTTACCAGTCCACACCAATTTGTGGTGTCATTTACCAGTCCACACCAACTTGTGGTGTCAGCTACCAGTCCACACCAATTTGTGGTGTCAGTTACCAGTCCACATCAACTTGTGGTGTCAACTACCGGTCCACACCAACTTGTGGTGTCAGTTACCAGTCCACACCAACTTCAAGAGCGCTGCTCCACCCTTTGCTACGGAGATCAGTGACGCTATTAAGATCAAAGGAGAGAGACAGCTGTCGGGCCGCCACTGTGTCTCCGGAGGCTGGTGACCCGGTGATGGCCCTGGATGCTCGAACGACTGCTCATCTGCGTCGCTCCAGAGGTCACAAGCGCAGATGAGGGGGGGGGGAGCTCAGTCTGAACGTGGAGTGTATGGTGACGCTGGCATGTGTTGACGTGGACTTGGGCAAGACCTGGACGATGTTGCAGTGTCCTAAAGGACGAAATTCGACTCAAGTCTTACTACTAAAAAAGGAGCTAGCAGAATCATTAAAAGATTACATCACGATCATGCGTACATAAAACGTATTAATACAAATACTAAATACTAAAAGCACCAAATGTCGACTAAGTGAGACGAAAAGTGCGGTGTGTTCTAGGACCGCGAATCCAGGGCCTCGGCGCCGCGTCCAGTAGTGCCGCACGCCGTCTGCGTGGCGCCGCCAGTCTGAGGGCCTGGGCGCCGTGTCCAGTGGTGCCGCACGCCGTCTGCGTGGCGCCACCAGTCTGAGGGCCTCGGCTCCGTGTCCAGTGGTGCCGCACGCCGTCCGCGTGGCGCCGCCAGTCTGAGGGCCTCGACACCGTGTCCAGTGGTGCCGCACGCTGTCTGCGTAGCGCCGCCAGTGAGGGCCTCGGCGTGTCGTGTCCACGGGTGGGGTGACGCGTGCCGACCGTCCTCTGGCAGGACTTCGGTGACCTGATCCCGGGTCATGGCGGCATCATGGACCGCTTCGACTGCCAGTTCCTGATGGCCACCTTCGTCAACGTCTACATCTCCACCTTCGTCCGCTCGCCCTCCGCTCATAAGATCCTGCAGCAGGTTGGTCGGGCCGCCACCGTCGCTCCCAGTTGAACAGGGAGCTGCGCCGTTGTGCGTTGACGCGTTGTTTAGGTGGGAAAGGCAGACGTGCGATTCGAGGGCTTGAGGCGAGACATGTGGTGTGATTATGCGGAGGTGGGGTCATTACATGTTAGGAATGTCATTAATGTGGTGCTTTGATTTAATCTGCGCGTCAGATAACGTAGTTGAAGGTTCAGCTTGCTTGCAAACATCACACGCTAGCGCGTTTGCACCTAGTATACGCTGCGGTTGCTGCGTTGAACGTCAATGCCCCGTTTTTTATCCACACCGCTGTTGACATCAGGCATGAGGGATGTGACGTCCTGTTCAGTTTGCTGGATTTCCCGCCTCCCCCCCCCCCCCCTTCCCCCTCATGCAACTTGGGCTCCAGCCCTTGGCTTTGGGAAGAAAGCGGGCCAAATCTGGATTTGGCGAGAAACCTGTTGGTTGGCATATGACGGGGGGGGGGGGGTTGAGTCAGTTTTCATTGCCCAGCCCCCCTCCCACACTCATTTTGTGAAACTACGCATCTGTCTGGCATCATAACGGCGGGAAAGAATCAAGCAGCCTAACAATGTGTACAAGGGCTAAGGCGGTGTATGTTATGCGCAAACCCTCCCTACATCATCTATCAGCCGCGAGTGGAACCTCAGTTTTGACCGTCCGCCGCCAGGTGTACACGCTAAAGCCGGACCAGCAGGTGCACCTGTACGCGATGCTGCGGGACGGCCTGACGGCGCGGGGGCTGCTCGGCTGAGCGCCCGCCTCGCCCAGCGCCCATCTGGCTGCGCCGCCCAGCCGACCGCCGCCTGCCAGATGCCCGGGCCCGGGCGCGACCCTCCCTGCCAGAGCCTCTCAGCGGATGCCGGGCACGTCCGGCGCAGAGTCAGCCCGACGCCGCGGCCACAGGACGTCACTCACGGGTCAGCCGAGGAAGCGAGCGCCGGCCGATGCTCCTAGGGTGGGCCGTCGCTAAGCCGAAGGTCGCGCTCTCCGGTTGTCGTTGTGTTTTAAGCGAAGAATTCATAATAGTTGGTTGTTGGGCCGCCGCGAGCGCGCGCGCGTGTATGTAGCTTAGGACGGCGCCGTGTTCGTTGTTCCCTATGCGCTGTGCGACTGTGGACCACGGAATGATGGGTACAGGCGCGTGGGAGGGCGCAATCAGAACATCAGGGTAGATCGGCTGGCCCCAGAGCCATCTGTCGAGCGAACAAGCAATCGATGTTGTGCGTGTCCAAAGAAGGTGGCGTTCACCGCCCGTGGTCACGGCCCTAGATCAGTTCTGCAGGTCGGTAGTGTATGTTGTTGGACGCCGACAGCAGCGGTTTCTAGACTAGCTTCATGTCATTCATATTGTGTTCGTGCGCAAGCGATGTGTCAATTCACAGCCACGGAATGCTCGGGCCAACTCTTAGCTGCTTTGTTAGCACTTGACAAGCAATGCAATATTTTATCAGTTTAGACGCCAGTGCGCATTGTTGTGCTCAATTCATTTCTCCGTAGTGCAAGCGTCAGGCCAGTGAGATTAAGATTCTTAATTCGTCCGATGGCCGACACGTCATTACACCGCACTCAGATTGCGCATTCGGATCCATGCCGCACCATGCCTGTTCTGCTGGCCAGCCGCTTCCGAACAACCATCCGTGGCCGGGGAGCCACAGGTCGGACGCCCGTCCAAAGCTTCAGTGCTTCGCTCCCTCACTAGATGGCTCTGTAATTCGTTGTCCGCCGCATCGGTTGTCCCCAGCCGCGCGGCGTTCGTGGGTCCCTGATTGGTCGTCAATGTCGTGCGGCTCGATCGGCCTCGCCGTGCCGTCGCCGGGCGGGCTGCTGCATGTTCACCTCCGGGAGCCCGTTCGTCGCCGCAGCGGCGTGGCCGCCAGGGAGCTCGGTATGCCCAGGTCACCCGTGGGTACTGAGGCGGTGGATGGCACTGTCGGCGAGGCTGCTGGCGCGGCCGCGGCCCTGTGTTTTATGTGGAAATACAGTTGTTTGAGGCGTCCCCGTCTGGGTGGATTCGGGGATGCTCGACTTCGGTCTGCAAGCCGGTGCGGAACACGCAGTGTGCGAACCTTTCTTCGAACTTGAAATTCGAGCGCAACGCTTACGCATTGCGCGTGAATGTCAGTTTCATTGCCTTAGAACCATCTCGCCCATGATTGATTGCTTCACAGCCTCGGCGCTGCGAGGTAAGCAAGAGATGACGTCATACCGAGTCACCTCTGGTGGCCTTCGGGTTTACGTGGACGTGTTGTGGCGAGGCCCACATTCTCGGGGACCCGACTGGTGAGCGCGCGACCGCCCCAGTCCGACCTGGGTGGCCGCGCGACCGACTCACGAATGGCAGTCGGGGCGTGTTGCCTACACTTTGCGGAAATTCGGGACAAAACGGCGTGTGAGGATACTGGGCGCGGTGAAAAGGACTGGGCGCCTGCTGAAAGAGGCTGGCAAACAATGCACGGTCGCACCGGACGGGCGCTCTACATGCTGCGTTTGCCGATCGGCACGGGGCTTGATTATCTGATTATCCATTATCCATTATCCCCCTGTTGTCGCACATTATCCCCTGTCGCGGTGCCGAGTGCAGTGAGCCCAGGTCAGGTGAAGTTACAAATTTTCCCACATAATATGGGTTGCAGACAACTCGGACTTCGGAAGTCATTGCTCCGACCGCCGCCAGACCTTTCGCCATTTGAAGTCTTATACGTGGTTTCTTCTTGCAGTTGGGAATCCGGTAACCGGGTCAGGTAAAGAGTCATAAGTAATCGCAAGTCATACAATTTTTGTTCGCAGACAACTCACATCTTTGGGCCTATTGTTTGGATTGTTTCCGAACCTTCAGTATTTAATGCACCGTAGGCGATTTTCTGTCGCAGATGCGAATACGGTGACCTTAGGTCAGGTTACCAATAGATTCTAAAGCCTTGTTGGTATTTTGTCAACATTTATCGACGAGGAAGAATTTCGACGTTTGTGAAAACTGATTACTTAATGATCCAGTTTCACTATTTTGGCAACTGCAAGAGAGAATCGGGTATAGCGCATAGAATCATGAAGGCTTCGCGTCGATTGATGCCACATGTTCCGATATCTAAATTGCCTGCCTTTGCGCCTATTTCTTTTTTCTCGCCGTGTGTAAAGTGTCTGATCTTGGACTATGTCACAAAATCACCCATGTTCCCACTGGTGAAGGATTGAAAACGATCTGATGCGGTTTCTGGACCGAGGATGTCCGCCAAGTGCTGAGCATGCCTTTTTTAGCCCCTCGTCGCAAAACTTGTTTGCGATGTCTGTGATGCTCACCGTGTCCGCCGTAGCTTTATATGTTCCAATTGGAACAAGGACAGAAGTCATTTATCATCACTTGAGTCCAAAGAAATCTTCGAGACGGTGGGTTTTGGGCTCGAAGGAGCAGGAGCACGTTGTTAGGATTGATGTTTAAATGAAAGTTCGCAGCTGGATGTCCGTTAAAGTTATCATCATTTATTTCGAATATGGTGCGGTGCTTGTGCAATGTGAGGCATGGCAAGTATAAAAATGGGTAAAAATATGGCAATAATGTAGAAAAATAATGTATTTCAATTTTTGACAGTGAGCAATCCAGTCACCGAAAATTCAACAAAACTACAACTTGATTAACGAATATCACGTATGCAATCGTTGCAAGGTTATTTTAATTCCTTTCTGATATACTTACTCAAGTTGGCCCGTGCGTAAGCGCTGGATCTTGACCCGTTGACCACTTCTGATCGCCTAGCGACCGCGTCACGTAAGACGCAAGGCTCAAACACCCCACGTCTGGACCAGCTGTGCAAGCACATCCAGGCTACCAGCTCGTGTATTTGTATGCCGTCATTCTTTATGATGCAGACTTTGTCCGACATTTACTTGTCTGAAGACTTCGGGAACTTAGTTCTCGAAGTTCACTGGATTTGTCCCCGTGATTAAGAAACCTGAGAAATTGGCATAGGGGAGGGGTGACGATGTCCGTAAAGTTGGTGATCTATTCATCGGCTTACTCAGCGACGAGATCTGAATTTTCTTTCAGAAAATTCAGGCAGACGGTCAATTATCGCACGAGAACATAACAAATGATGATTATATTGCAATGTCATGTGACCTTCAAGGTCAAAAGGGAAAAATCCTTACCAACAAACTTACCGGCCGACTTCAAATTCCCAAGCGTCAGAATATTTTCAAGGACATCCTTTAAGGTCAGACTCAGGCTCAGATGACGGGGAATTCCACGTCAACAATTTATCATCAAAAATTTACGAGCCGATTTCAAGCTCCTAATCATAAGTGTATGTATGAATATATATGAATATATCTGAATATATATGAATATATATATATATATATATATATATATATATATATATATATATATATATATATATATATATATATATATATATATATATATATATATATATATATATATATATATATATATACATATATATATATATGTTTATATCTATACCTATACAACCTATATATACATAAATATAGGTATAGAGTATAGACATTTATGAAAGTATATATACTTATATACTATACTTATATGTATC